TCCTAACCTCCTGCTCTTTGGCGTTCACCTCAGTGACTCACAGGGAAGAATTAAAGTTCTGTCCTTTAAGTTCACTGAAAGCCAGAAAGTCTCATTTCATAATTATAACAATCCTTTTGCAAACTCTCTAATATTTGCTTCCTATAATTGACTCTTGTACCAAACAACATCAGAATGTCCCCACTGGCTTGGACCAAAGAGCATCCCTAATCCAGGCTATGTTGCTAACCAGGATTGTTAGCAAGTGCCTAGAGAAGAGAGTAAGAACAAGGTGAGCATGCAGTGCTACTTAACCAGCTTAACATTATGTTAACTCACAGAATTTGCTTCTGTGGCAAAAAACCTTTGGTAGATTTTTCTTCCATGAATTTGTCTGACTGCAACATCCTGTAGCAGTAAGTTCTGTAGTTGAAAAAACATGTTGCAGAGAAGTACCTTCTTTTCAACTGATTTTCAACCTGTCATCTTCTAGTTTCATTTGATTCGCATTAGTTCTTAAATGCAGAGAGATTTTTTCCCTATTTACTGACCCTGTTCCGTATACCATTTCAGAGACTTCTATTACCTCTTGTCTCCTCCAGCCCTTTCATTTCCAGAGTGAAAAGTCCTAGTCAATCTACTTTTGCTCATAGTGAAAATGTTCCATACTTTCAACCACCCTTGTCATCTTTCTACAGTTTTCCTATTCAGAGCACAGTCAAGTTTGTCTCTCACTTTAGATACACAAAAATCTCCATTTGAAACCAGCAGTGAATGAACTTCAGATAACTTCAGAAAGAATGCATAAGTGGGGATGTTCATTTAATTCACTTCACTTTCTTCAGATCCAAAGGTTTTCCCCTCTTGTGCTCACAGCAGAAACCTGTGAATCCCACAACCAGTTTCTCAGGCGACTCAGTTAAGGTCCCAGATAAGATCCTCACTCTGCTCCTCTATCTCTCCCTCATTTCCTAAACTGCTATTAGCACAACTGTGGTGGAAAAATGGCTGTGGTGCCTCATGTCAGTAGATCCACACTCCAGTTAGGACCAAGGGAATCTTAGTTCCTCCAAGAATCTTGACACTTGCAAAGCATGCAGTTGTATAGCTGTTTACTTGTAGGCACCTCCTTCCTACTGAAGATTTTTATTATTAAAATTTAAATTCATGATCTATGAGAGTCTGATTCACAGCCAAAGTAATGAGAAAGACTTCTATACACTTTACTGACCTTTGCTTCTAACCTATAAGGAATCACAAAAGGTTGAACCAGATGGTGACACTTTATCACTGAAACATACCTTGTGTCTTAGAATCATAGAATCGTTTAGGCTGGAAAGGACCTTTATGATCGCTGAGTCCAACCAGAGTCTTGCAACAATAAACCCCATCAAAACTAGAGCTGACAAGAAAACAACACTAAAAATATGTCTTAGCCACCAGGAGACTAATATACCTGTGGTATGCTAGTATCAGCACTTACTGAAACTCTACTCACAAATTATAAAGAAAGCACATTTGCAGATTTTCAAATCTCCAGTCAAATCCCATACTAAACAGAGACAATGACTGTTCATCAGTTTAAGTGAATCTTTGAACATGTTTGCAATAAATCTTGCCTTAAACTTTTATTACGCCAGTACTTACTCCACTGATTTACAGTCTGATTAAAATTAAGAATCCTCATGGTTAACTCAAATACCATCCTCTTACAGGGTTTCAAGACAGGTGAAGAAGATTACATAAGGCAAAATAATGGATGGAGAACTGCTGCATAACAACCTATTCATCTCCTCACTTGTCACACAAATGCAACTCAAAGATTTTTTTCTTAGCTTCAGGTCAATATTTGTAGTTAGAAAATCTTTTCCTGAAAAATTCTAATCAAAACAGATGGTGATGATAAGGAAAGACAGTTTACTTGACAGTTATTATCCAATAACTTAGTATCCCACAATACTTTCAAAGCTAATCAGAATGGAAAAGATTTTAAAGCAAAAGAGTAGGTCCAAAGTTTGCTAAAGTCTAGACCCAAGTTCCCAGCACCAATCTGTCCGCACTGATGGAAGGATGATAAACAACTTGAGCATGCCAGATATCATTAGGGATCTGGTTTTAATATTTACATATGAATATCTGTCTAGAAATTCCTCTAGCTGCACCACCACCCCACCTCCCATTTTATGTTATTACTGTTCTGTACTAAGAGGTGCCAAACACACAAACTAACAAACTGGGAAGCACACAAGGATATCAAGCCCATTGCTGAGTTTTAACACAGAATAATAGGCCTAATTAAAGACACTAGAATAGATGCTGGTTATCTATATCTTTTGTCAACTGCACAGTTTAAAAAGTGAAAGAACAGCACCGGGGGAAGAAAGGCAAATCAACCTAATGAATGATTTAATTGTGGGAAGAGTGTGATAGTGCCACAAAGGAGGTCACCAGCAGGGACAGGACTAGGGTCAGGGTTCTACTTAAGGTTCTCAATTATTAATTCACCACTACTTCATAGACCAAGCTATCCCTTGGTAATCAGCATGAGGCCATTTCATTCAACTCAGGAAAATTGCCTGGTATTATTGTGATTCAATAATATGTATAGATAAGTGGGAAGGTGTAGCAGAGTACTGAAAGATAAATAAATTATTAGGTACAGAAGACAATGCAGAGGCAGCCATATGTGCATGAAATATGGAAAGACAACCAAAACTGAGAACAAACCCAGAGTGTTTAAACACAAAGCAGAGACGTGTCATTAAAAAGAGGTTTTTCTTTAAATAAAAACAGAAAAGAAATAGACCATTAAAAAAAAAAATCTCTTCCACTGCTTTCATCTTGAAAGTCTCGGAATTTAATCTATATTTTCCCTTTTCCATTGTTTGTGCTTGGAAAATTTCATAATACAATGACAGGTATGACAAATCAAGCCAGTATTCAACATTACTTTCAAGTTGACCTACAGGTCCCTGCTAGGATCAAAGCCAATTCTTCTCAATTTCTCTGCCTGAATCTCTCCATCTATACCAGCTCTTCTCCCTGGCAGCTGCTGAAACAGGGGCTTTTGCCTCTGACATTCCATTTTCAAGCAGATAAAAATCAAACAGTAATTCTGTGATCTACTCACCCAAATCACAGCCTTTACTAATGTATTTGAAACAGTAAACTTCTCCCTACATAACCCTCCTATTCACATACTGTACTGCTGTCAGGTACGAGTAACCCTGATACAGCTCATCAGGTGTGGTACCCTCAGTCAGGTATGGCTACAACAGATGTTGCCTGGCCCGGCCAAAGCCATCAGAGCATTCCACTGACACTAGTATACCCACATTCCTATCCCAAAGTGTCCAACAAATAAATACTGCTTCCGCTGCTTTTTTCCTTTACAACATTCATTTCTGGGCACAGACCCATTTTACTGCAGCGTTTCAGTTACTTGTTGAACTTTGTAAGGCAAAGAGTGTCTTCCTTGTTTCTATGTCTAATACCTAACATAAAAATATTATTGCTATACATAGACTCTAAAAAGTCAATGCAAGTTATTTGCATGTTCCTCCTCTATGCTGTTTATTATGGGGTTAAAGTCTTGTTTTGAGCCAAAACACAAAAAGAGTTAAGACATTGTCATGTTATTGTGTAAGGTAGTGTAGAACAGCCCCTCAAAACAGATTAGGACCCATGCAAGAAACCCATGGAGACCTTGACAAAATGCTGTAACAACAAGGACAGAGAGGTATGTCAACAGACACTTCGTGCATTTGAAGAAAGACTCTGCACAGTTTGTGTGGCTGGCTGGCATCACTAAGATGACATCCAAAGTCTAGAGCTTTGCTCCTGTGTTCAAGCAACTAATTCATAAAGGTTCTTTAATCTGACGGCTGTCTAAACTTTTCCAGTCAAAGCATACCAAGGCTGCCCCAATGGGACTGCAGATTTGAGTGAGGGTTTTGCAAATGTCAGTTCCAGAACAAGAGCAGCTGGTGGGCTTGTCCTGTGTGAAGGCCACAGGCTGAGTTAGTCAGCATTACTTTGTAAAGGCTGTGGCTGAGAACAAGACTCCTTCTGACATGGATATGTTAACTCATTGGCTGCAGGTGAGTTGCTTACTTGCATAACAAAGCAATATTCCAAAGCAGAGTTGCCTGAAGAAAGCTTTTTGTCCTCAAAACACTGTCTTTGATCAGTGTAAACTGAAGGACAAGAAAGCAATAACTGACTCTAACCTTGCCATTTCACCGTACTAATTCATGACTGAAAGGTATCTGTTATTTACAGGCATCTGCACCACTGCATGCAGTCACGTCACAGCCTTCAGATGGAGTGGAATTTTATTAGGATAGTGTTTCTTAGCCACAGGTGAACGTGTACAGATTTGCAAGTGCACTTTGCTTTCTGGTCTAGTCTAAATAGACCGATTCCTTCAGGATTGCCAGGCTTGGGGACTTCAGTTGTCCTTGGCTACAGCTTTTCCCCTAGCTGTGAATGATAAAGTTGTTCTACTTTGTAAATGACTTTGATACCACTGAAAGGAAGACAAGTAAGCATAGCAACAGAGATCAGCCCTGTACTTCACATTCAGCCCTTTCACACTCACTGCCTGACCTGCGACAGGAAGCAGTCTCTGCCCACTGTCTGTCAAGGCAGATACCGCAGAGAAAATGTGATAGAAACAAATACAAACCGGAGACTGGCAGTGGAGAAAAGCTGGCATGCAGTCATATGGCCAAGAAATTTTTGCTCAAATCTCCTGAGGCCTACACAGTACCTTCCACACAGGTCCTTCCTTGCAGTCAGTTTCATCATAACCAGCCAGCAAGCAGCATTAGCTCAACAGAAATATGCCAGAAGCAGACCTTTTCTCATACTTCAGTTCCTCTGATCCCTACAAAAATCTCTCAGCCCAGCAAAGATCTTGCTGTGTCAGAATAGAGGTCGCTTACCTTTGAACAGAGATTTTGTTCCAAACACAGACAAACCCTTCTCAGAATCTACAAAGCCTGCAGTTCACCACTTACCTATCCAGAGTGTCCTGAGGCACTTTACTCCCTCCAGCTCTGCTGTTGACACTGGCATTCTTGTTGGCAGTCATGGTCATTTCTGCTTTCTAGAAATGTGGATATCTGTGAGAAGAAAAGTCAACTAAGCTTCAACAAGCCCAAATGACAATTTATGTTCAAGACTGCTAGAAGCATTATGCTGTGTAACGATAGAACTCTGGGCTGCTTTTCGTTCTATAAAAGCAATCAGTCTAGTCATGATCCTGAAAAACTAAACCCTACCTCTCTGCTGCTGCTCTTTCACAGCCGCAGCCACCTTTATTAGAGCCCGGTGCTACAGAGGGAGATATCTTATGGGAATTAGGTTCTGGCATGTCTGATGAACAGAGCTTGATACCAAATCTGCAAAATATCACAAGTTTGATGTGGTTCTTCCATCCATCAGTATACGTGGAGAACCCAGTAACTGCACTTTGTGATACTTGCAAATACCATAGTTATGACAGACATTTTGACCATACAAAAGCTATTCCAAGGAACAAAGAAACTTTTCTCAATTCTAAAATGCAGCTCTATTACAGAAATATTTTCTGATAGTGAAATATATTCAATAGCAAATACATTGAATATAACTTTCAAATCTGCTTTACTTCTGTAACTTTGCTGCATACTGGCAAAGAAACATTCCAGTACCACAATTTATTTTTGCCTTCATCCCATTCTCTTAATAGCAATGTTGTGCTGTGACTGAAGGGAGAGTATGTTGATATGGATATAGGCCAGGACGTAATCTCAAGGATGCAAAAGTGGCAACCTCTAAAATCATGCCCCTCTGTTGACTATATTCCATGTTTCTCTGGTGTAGAGCACACCTCTTCGTGGCAACTTCCTCCATCATTGTAACCACTTGAGAAACGTTCTGCAAAATGAGGGAGAAATGAATCTTCATGTCATGGTAAGACTTCTAAAATGCCAGCAGAGTCCCTTGTGAAACAAATGGAACAGTACTTATTCTACCTGATGGTACAGGACTTATTTATCAAGGATTCTGTGGCTCTCCTGGCATGTGCTCTGGGTGGTTTCTGAGGTGCTCTTTACTTTATAGACTAAAATATCTTACCATAGTTTTCAGGACTGCCACCCAGGATCTGACCAGAACTACCGATTTTTATGACCATTAATGGCATAACTAATGCAAAAATAAGGAGGATTACAAAACTTTTTGTTTACTCAAACCCACAGTAATTCCAGATTGCCTGAGAAGCCAACTGTAACGTGATGCTGAAAAGCAAGCTGGGTACTGACAACACACAAAATCCTTATACTAACAGACCCATCATGGTGAAGAGGACATTCTCTAAACCACTTTATTCCAAACAGTTCTGCCACAAATAAAGTCAGAAAATCTCCTGCAGATTGCAGCTCCAGAGGCAATCAATCATGCTGACCACATGTCCTTCTCCAATTGTCTTGCATGTACCCATTTTTCCCAGATTAAGTAGAGATTTTTTTCCCCAGTTGGTAACATTTTTTCTACAGTGAAGCTCCCCAAATTCCTCCAGTGTCTCGTTGCTAGTGTTAAATTAGCAAGATAACAGAACCATTGAAGAACTGCCTGTTCTGATTGGAAAAGGGCTTGCTTGGGACAAGAAAGGACACCCGCTGATGCTGGCCAAGCTTTCTAGGACTGTACATTCCACAGGAAGCCAGCAGCTTTCTTAATGTTTTCCAGTCACCAGTTCACTACTTTTACTGCGTGAAATCTGTCTAAATCACTTATTAGCAATTAAGGTGAGAAAAGTGAGAGATATAAATGTGGCATAAGGTGAGTGACAACTGTTAGCATACATGTGTTACCTTCATTTTCCAAGATTTGCTTTTCTGTTCAAGACCAAAATAAGCTGAAGGGACTCTCAAAAAGATGGGATACTGACCTGGCACATAAAAAAAAATAGCATGCAATGTTATGTGTGATATGTTGTTGTTTGCTAGGAGTCTACTTTTTTTCCACTGAATTTTGGGTATGGGAAAAGTACATGTATTTGTACATCAAAGCTTGCTAAAAATCTTTGTGGTCAATATTTTCAAAATTGTTCACTTAAACCTCACATTTCAAAGCTACCTTAAACATCAAATAGGCCAAACTGGTTTGTTTTCAGCAAAAGATGAACTGAATTCTAAAAGACAATTTCACAAGGTACGTCAAATTTAGTGACATAAGTGTGTTTCTTCTTGTGCAGCCGAGACTCTGATATATATGGTGATATCAACTGACTTTTCTGTGCAATTTTTCTCTAATGTTTATTTTGCATTAATATTTTACTGCAGGTAATACTGGTATGATCCCAGGATATGCGGAGAAAACCCAAATAACTTGAACATGGCAGAAAAATAGTCAGTCAACAGTTCACAGAAGTGCCTGGAAGAGCTTAATAGTAAAATAAAAAAATAAATAAATTAAAAACAAAACAAAGCAAAACAAAACAAACAAACAAACAAAAAAAAAAAACAATGCCACACCCCAAAACAAAAATGGAGACAGGGAAAAAAAACTAGACTAAATTTTATGGTCATGTAGCAAGTTATGCAGGAGCCTTTGAACGAGTCTGACAGCCCTGTAAATTTATATGAATCGTATATTAAGAATCACATCCCTTGGGCTTGTGTGAGAACATTATCCATCACAGTACTTGCAATTATTCTTCACATAGTAATGAAAACCAAAATCTCTCAAACATTATGACATACTGTTAAAAACAAATCCAAAAATAGTCACGTCACACAGATTCTGCATTGCCTAGTTAACCATCTAACTACACTTTGCCTAAAAATGCAGAATTCTGTTTTATTTGTAATGTAAAGTGTTACTCTGCAACCCTTATTTAGCCATAATTTTTGCTTTACTCCAGGCAGACTCCCTAATTTCAGTAGGACTCTCAAATTGGCAATTTAATGAGCCCAGATGGTAGAATCTGGACCTTCTGCATTAGTACAGCCATTTTGTCTAAAACCTCCACAAACCATTTGGCAGGATCAAAGAGAATAGACAACAGACAAATATAAAAAGTGACGTGATGGCAACATGGGACCAGGCAAGGTTCATCATCCTGACTGAAAACGGCTGCTGCAATGCAGATATTTCCTAACAGATTTTTATCACTGCAGGAAGCCCCAATGACAGAATATCCTACAGTCCATCTCCCTCCCTCTTAACGGTTTCCTTCCACTTCCAAAATGAAAGTGTGGCATGAAGCTTTTTTATGGACAGATGGGACACTGAAAACCACCACACTTAGTGCTAGTGAACCTTACAGCATCAGTGAATCTTTAATTCCATTAACAGGTGTTAGCAGAAAAGGTGTAAATCCGATGCTCCTCCCTACTGCAGTTCAAAATTATTCTTAATTTCCTAAAACATCCCAACACTTGGGAAGCACCCACTCTCAGTCCCACTACAGTGTAAGTAGTACCTCAGCCCACTCCCATTCACAGGTGGTTCAGGGCTAGAGCCAGGCTTCAAGCAAGCACCTGAAAAGTCACAGCAATCAAGAGTGCTTTATTTGTACTATTCAAGAGCCTCCTAAGGTCTCAAGAAAACCTTCTGCTTTCTTACTCACAATGTATCCATCAGTTACCACACTGCAAGGACCAATTCCCTCCTCCCCTCCAGTGGAAGGTGAATAACATTCAGCCTAGTTATTCATGTCTAGGCTCAGAAGTCTTATATGCGTCTTAGATCAACAGATGTTTCAGAGAAAGCATTTTCATAATCTGAATTGTGATATCTTCCATTCTTTTAACACGATGGGAGCAGAAGAAATTTCTTCAGTTCAACAAACATACATAGTTCTTTGTTTGCTTGTTGGGACAGTTTGGTTGGTTTTAATACCGTGCTCAATATCTCTTCTTATCCATATGGTCCTTTTCCCTACTTAGTCTTAAAACAGAGTCATTGCACCCCATTTACTGCACTCATTCCTAAATCATATTTTCCATTAAATACACAGTTCCAACAAAATGTACTTACAGTGTGTTGCAATGCTTCAAAGCCAGTTTTCTGAGCATCAGGAATACTAACACTGTTTATCTGGCAGCTTAATGAAGAAGAATCGAGATTCTGCTGCTTACTAATGAACACTGAACTCACACAAGCAGAAGACAACACGTAGGTGGCTCCAGCCCTCTCAGCCAGGCATTCGCTGGCACCCAGCCTGCAGCACACAGCAGATGAAATTAGGAAGGTGGCAAAGAAGAATATATGCAGGGTTTCTAATGACTTGAGGAGGGAGCCTTTGAATGTAGGATCCCAAGCACTCCCCTGGCATTATCACTAACACAGGTGCAAATTTTACAAAGTAAATGACATCCAGCAAGGGTGTTAAGCATGTCCAGACCTCTGCTCTGGACTTCTGCTGTTATTTCTTAAGAGAGGTTAGAGAGTGACAGCTCAGTGTACGTGAATTTCTTTTTGTCTCATGTTTTGCAAAGATTAACCTACACTTAACTGTCCTAGACCAAACCCTTTGTACTGCAATCAATTTATTTATAAGGTATAGTTTGGATTATTGAGATCTGCATATGTTCTGCAGCCTTTTAAGGCAGCCAATTTTCTTACTGAAATTCCACTGATCTGGGATCTGGAAAATATGGGGAAATATTACTGCTTTGGTCTGCTCTACAGGGCAGAGACCTGGAGACATAACAGGAAGGCATTACAGGGAAGAACTACAGGCTGCTAAGACAAACTCATGCTTTTGAAAAAGTACCTTGTAATAAAGACAAACTCTCAGAAATATATTACTAATAATAATCAATTTGGTTTACTTATTTTTCTCTTAACAGTAGCTGCAACAGAATGTCTCTAGGCATTGAAAAGTTAGTTTAAAACATTAATATGCTTTTCTGAGTGCTGTAAGAAAATTTTGTGCACATTTCAAGAGGTGTTAAACAGCTAAACTTTTGTTTAAGAGTCGCAGCTTAGCTTTGTGGCAATACGCCTATTCCCTTCCAGTAAAACAGATAGTTATGTCCTCCCAGAACAACATCAGTTCCGATGAACTGGAAATTCCAATAAAATCTTTAAAGATTTCTGCCTTGCGAGGACTTCTGTAGAGACTTCAAAA